AACAGTTCAGGTCAAAGCTGGATTATTTACTGCAGCTTTTTGATTCTGTTTCTGGAAATTTCCAGCTTCTGATTATAAATGTTAACTTGGTTCATTTCATTGTTTCCTGTTCCTCTTTAACTGAACAGTTTTAGAACTGCATGCAAACATTTTGAACTGCACATCAAATTAAAACTGCTTATTTCTAAAGTTGTGCTTTTGTCTGAACGTTTAATCAGAGTAAATGTAACGTGGTGGTTGAATAACGGATGCTGAGCTACGGTCCCCCTGCACCTCAGCTCCCACTTTTTATCCCTACTGGCCTCAACAGCTCATCAGAAATTTGCCAACTAGATCGTGTTTCTGAAGTTCAGTGAGAAAATGGCTCACTGTGTTAGGTACTGTTACTTCAGAGAACCCAAAAAGCATGCTGTATTTAATCAGAACCACCTGGTTCTCCAGAATCACATCCACTCTGCATATGTGGGTGTGCAGAGTCCACATTATGCCTTCCTCCAAAATGAGTCTGCCCCCCCCCCCCAAGTGGTACAATACTGGAGCATCCCTATTGACAGGAAACTGTCAGAAAACTGAACAATTAAATGCAGTGGTCTGAAATCAAACTTCAGGTTTATCCCTGTCAATCAAAACATTATCCACCACCTCACTTATTGTGCTAAATGGAAGATCACTGGGCAAAAGGACTTTAGTTCATGACTTCCTCATTGAGCATAACATTTTTAACAAATGCAATTGGATGACAAAGAAGCACTTGTGCCTGTTGAATCAGCAACTCAAGACATTTTAAAGTGAGAATAGAAAGCCTAGAGGGGGAAGGTGTTACAATGGTTCATAATTCAATAAACAGTTTTTCTGGGCAAATTGGACTCAATAATTGGGAATTGCAGTAAAAGGCCATAAATGAGCTCTGGCACCAATTTTAAACAAAACCCTCCAAGTAATTTTTTTTCAATTTGGTCAGATTTGATCTGTTATGGTATTTGAGAAACTTGAGCATCCATGTTGATGCTATTCAAGGAAGAGGAACAAAAATTCTAGGTGATCTACTTTAAAACTTTGGTTTCCCTCAACATGTTAACCAAGCAACACAAAGATACTCTCCACCTGATGAACAGACAGGATGTAAATATTTCCAACATCTCTAATTGATGTCCTGATGGGTCATTTCTGTCTTTGAAAGTATTTCATTCATTTAGCAAAACTTTCTATTACAAAAAGACACCGCAGAAGCTTTTGATCAAATCTACTCTCCTTGATTCTCTGCTGTAACCCAGATAAGCTGTCAAGACATCACACATTTGAGCATTTCATTGCTCCTGTTAAAGTGAAGATTGTGTGTGGTAGGAAGACACACTGTGGAGAAATGCTCCACTAGGAAGGTGTGAAAAAAGGGCTGAAGGCAGGGGCGATTCTAGGGTCTGACCTTTAGGGGGTCTTGGCCCCCAGCAGGGCTAAGGCCCATGAGAAGATGCTCGTTGGTGCAGTTTTCTAAATCTGCTTATTTACATACATTCACAAAATTAAGAGACATGTCGGTAATTCATAGAATAAAAGAACAATGTTCATTTTACTCAAACATATAAAGAGTAAAATCAGAAAAACTTAATTTTTTCCAGAGGTGTATGAACTCAGTTTGAAACAGAATCTCGAGACTACATCACGCCGGCCAACATCTAACATTGAGAAACAAGCAGCTGTGGAGCGACACAGTCGGAACTGCATGGACCGGACCGGCACGCTTCGGTCCGGTTCCACCCGAACTGCAGCCCTGTTGTTTTTGCATATACCTGAGGGCGCCATCGAAACTGTACCTGACGTCATGTTTGAAACTAAACACTGGTGTCGATGTAGCGGCCGAAGCCTTTTCCTCAGAGATGAAAACTTTCTCATTCCTCGTTGACCGATCTGGTTCGTTCTGTACTCGTTCACC